CGCCGTTGCTTTTGCAACAAAGTTTGTTGATCCTTCTTCGCTGCTTTCATATATATATATATATATATATATATGTATATATGTATATATATGTATATGTACATGCAGCTTTCGTACTAGCTAGTTTCAGCAGCTGTATCTGGAATTTGATCCCTGTGTTTCCCAGTTTTTGGTTTATGTGTTTTCCCTCGCTCTCCTATTCCATGAGCCTGCCATCAATATGAAGCCAATCTAATTCTCTCGTTATGGATATTCATTGTGTTTAGCAAAATTATTTCCTAAACAATTACTTGCATGCATGCATATATTTGAATAATAGCTTTCATAATATTGAACACTTCACGGAAAATTTCTTGAAAAGTTTGTGCAAATAACCCCACAGCATCGATTGTCCCGTCATTTATTTAATAGAACGTAATACCTATTACAAAGGAAATATTCTCTCTCTCTTTTTTTCCTTCTAGAGTCTGAATTACGTTTTCATTTATTTTAATAAACACATGCCATGTCATTTGAACGAAATATCAAATACTCAACAAAAAATGGTAGGAAATTTATTTTCATGGATATAAAGGTTTTAAAATTCAGAAAGGTTATCTGGATGCAATTAAAACTTTATGAGAATTACCTGAATTTTTTTATAATGAGAATTCACATAAATTTATTGGTACAGAATTAACATAATTTTATTTAATCGTATAACCTTCCGAGTTCCGACTACATTCTGAGTTGAGTAAAATCGGGCCTTCCTACCGCGCCCCGAACTCAAAGCCCTTATTGAAGGCCCGGTCTGTATCTGAGTTTTCCCCATCTCCTCTCCTCTCCAGCTCTCCGTGCAACTCCTGAAATTAAATTCATATTTGGCATTAGGAGTTAGTTTGGTTGGTAAAAAGTCAGTTAATCATTCACAAAGCCGTGAACTTGAATCCCACTGTCAATGTGAAAACTTTATTGGTTGGCGATCTGTAAATACCTTTGTAAATGCTCTCTGAACATGGAGACATATATTAACCCTATTAAGTCTTCCAAAACCCAACTCTTTTAAACTTTTCTGGAACAACAAAAATTCATATTTTGACATTGGTTAGTGGTTAATATTCTCTTTAGTACCCAATATAAGAGCCAATTAGAAGTATAATCTAGTCTTAAATATAAGACGCTGATTCATTTTATCTTTCATATTTATTATTTTTTTCAAATAATAATTTACCCAACTTATTAATTGATATATGGCCTGATATTAGTATAAGAATATCTTGAAAAGATCAGGTCATAATTTTACCTTTTTTATCTGCCAAGCTAAATTAGCTGAGTAGCTTTTTATATTAACGAGAGTATTTACTATTTAATACCAGTGTAATCGAGCATATGGGAATTCCAAGGAGATGGAGACGTCCTAAAAGCACCTAACCTTTGGTTTATAAAATTCAATCCAACTTTATTAGGTAGGAGTAAGTTGGTCGTGAAAGAGATCGAAAGGCCCCTCTTTCTAGGGTGTGTGACCTCGGTCTACAATGACATGTGGACTTATTAAGCCCCGCGAATGAGACAAAATTAAACGTATCATGCAAAATTTAATGAACATATATAGCCTATCTACCTTAGTTTATGCTCAACTGTCGCCGCTTTAAGACGAGTCCAAACATATATAACTTAAATATACAGTTTCCTGCCGTAAATGATCACTTTACATCTTATTTGTGGGGGTGAACCTGAATTTTAACGACTAAGATCGAATCTGATTCCGCATCTATCTCGTTCTTTCTTTAGTTGAAATTAAATGTCACAAGACCAACCTTTCGGTCACTGATTAAGGAATTATTGTTGTCATTATTTTTTTTATATAAAAAGTAATACCTGGATTGTGTGTTTGCCAGAGAAGGATATTAACAATTGTCAACACAAGAGAAAAATGATATGCCCCTTTTGTAAGTTATGTAAATATTTTTTTTAAAAAAAAAGGGAATATATGCCCACATGACAATGAACAGTTGCAGACCGATTAGTTGGTTCGCTTTTTTCTGTGTTCCCAGATATCATGTAATCTCCAAGTGGGAGCCATATAGAAATAGGATAAATAATAATAATAATACTAATAATAATGAGGGTCCTCATATGTGTGTGTGTGTGTGGGGTCACAGTCAAAAATACTGCGAGATAAGATATGCCAACTATAAATAAAATGAAAACAAATGAAGTGAGTGGCAGCGAGGCATGAGAAGAAGAACCCACTCAATTCCAATAGATGAGGTATCCACGCATGGACCCAACAAGGTGGGTCACCAACCTCACAGATTCTTTCCCACCCTCATAATTCATTTTTAACCTCTTCCTGTTCATCTGCTTCTAGAAACCATCCACAAAGGAAAAAAAAGAAACCTGAGTTAGGAGGGTGAGGCGCACCAACCATGTTCAATCCAAATAAAATATTTCACATGGCCGGCTCAATCCCTCTGATCTGCTGGATGCAACAGGAGGTTGGTTGAACTCTGAAAGTGACCAATTAAAAGTTGTGATCAGTGAGTTGGACAGTGAGCTCACACTACATATCAGGAGCCATATCATCAAAAAAACAAGACCTTATTACCTGACACTAACCCAGGAACACACGCCATGATGCATGGATCATGATCGTAATGGACCACCTAAAAGTTGAATCTAATTAAATAGTATCTTTTTTGTTTCCAGGCTGAGACAACATATATCGCTTCAAATCTCCAGTTACAAAGATTCCATTCTTCTTATATCTTACCACTCCTGGTCTTATACATGTGAGAATGAAAAGGGAAAACCCTGTTGGTAGCCGTATAGTACATATATTAGTTTATTTATGAGACTGACAAGAAGGAGACGAAGTGGTGGAGAGGGAAGGTGAATATTTGAGGGGCTGCATTAAGTGAGTGGAGAGAGTATTTTGGGGCGGTGGTGGGTGTGAAAGCGGGTTAAAATTAAAAGAAGAAGAGAGGGAGGGAAATGAGTATTAAAATCATAATAATAATGGGAAGGTAGGGTAAGTTAGTTACTGATATATATTGGAGCTGAATTGACAAGAGTAAGTGGAGTAAGTTGGGAGGACCGCTTCTAGAATCCCTTTTCTTTATTGCAGAACAAACAGATGAAGGGAAATCCATTAGACAAATACCATGAGTAGTTATAGGAAGAGAGTAGTGGAAATCAGAGCTTTATTTTTATTTTTCTGGGGAACAAAAATGTTTGGTGGGGAGAAGATGTGTGTAATTAGAGAATGATGTGAATGGCAAAAGCTAATATCGCTGTTTGTCTCTGGTGGGGCCTTCATACCCTTTATTTCGTCACCCGCCCACCCTCCTTTAACTTAATTTCAGCACCTTATTCCCCCTCCTCCTCTTCTTTTACCCACTTCCTCCTAGCTCCCACTACCCATCATTTCTTGCCAATATCGCATTCGCCCACCCTTACAATTACTAAATTCTCACACTTGACCCAATTGGTTTCTTCAGTAAAGTGCTCATAGGGGAGAAGAATAAGAATCATGTAAGGTTAATGATGTATTTGTAAGTCAAAGGGGAAAGATGAGCAGAGTTTGAAACAACAACTTTATAGCTTGCTGATAGATATGAGAATAAGCTTGACACAATTTGATTGAAGCTTGCTTCGAAAAGCATCGAAAGCTTATCTTTAATGCTTCTGAATTTTACATGTCTGGTCAAGATGTAAGGCCTAGAAGGATAAAAGTAATATTATAGTAATAGGAGAACGCGATAATAATTTCTCTGCAAGATTTGTTGATGATGGAAAAAACTTACCTCAGATTATATTTACTATGTCAACTTCTCCAATCATATATAGTCATATGTTCATTTTTATTTTAGGTAGATTTATAATTAAATACTGTTAAATACTACTCCTCTGATCCTTACTATAAGATCCATTTAACTAATTTGATTAGATTAAGGAAATTAGGTAAGTTAGTTAATTATAAGAAAAATGACACGTTTTTCCTAAAATACCATAATCATCTTTCTTAATACCCTATCTCCCTCTTCTACTTGATTATGATTGAGGGAGTATCCATAAGGGTAATTTAGAGAAAATTGATAAATATGAGAAATGGGCCTTATATTTAGGAACAAAACCAATTCAAGAATTAGGTCCTATATTAAGGACCGGAAGAGTAGTATTTAAAAATAAGATATATATATATATGATTAGAAAGCTTGGCATAATGGATACAAGAAACTTAACACGAGGATTGTTCTTTGTTAATTACTAACCATAATTTAATAAAAGAAGTTAATTCACCATTAAAAGACTGTGAAATTCAGGCTTGTAGAATTAATGACAAACACATATTATATATTTTAATATTGCTGTCCACAGTTTTAAACGACAATCGATCAGTGTCCAGACAATGGTGATTAATTAATTCACTAATAATTAAGTGTATCACTATTTTTGGGTGTCAGCGTTTAATAAAATAAGCAGGACTAATTAATTATTGCAGTCTTCAAAGAAGATTTGAATTCCCCTCTAGGATGTGTATATCTAAATTGTTCGTGGCTGTAAGAGGTGAGGCTCCGCTAATTGCAGGTCCAGGGTGATGACGGTGATGGTTCCTATTATTAACAAAACAGGAGTCAAACTCCTGCAATTAAAATGCAATTAGAGCCCCTTTATGCAAATAGTCCATATATATTAAAGCTGAATATCACGCCCCTCGTATGTTCTCTATCTATACGAAGCTCAATCAATATTCATATTTTATTTCCACAGCAAGGCAGAGTCATTACAGGAGGAGGGTGAGGGGGAGTAGGAGGAAAAAGGAGAAATAAGGGGGACGAGAGTGGTAAAAAAAGAGAAAGAGAGGGAGCTACCTACCAAATCCAAAAGTAACCACAAACTTAAAGGGAACCACTCATGATCGTCACCAACTCGGTCAAACACTCTCTCTCTTCCCCCCAACCCAACCCCGAGTCAATTGCATTTTGCTCCTCTTCCTGCTCTCCACCACCCTCCCTCCTTTTATATCCCCCGCTTCCTCTTTCTTCCCCACAATTATCCTCCTCCACACATCCATGGGCAGATCTCCTTGCTGCGAGAAAGAGCACACCAACAAAGGAGCCTGGACCAAAGAGGAAGACCAACGCCTCATCAACTACATCAAGGTCCATGGCGAAGGTTGCTGGAGATCCCTCCCCAAAGCTGCTGGTATCCATCTATCTGTATATCTCTCTCTTCTTCTCTATCTCTCTCTCTCTCCCCCCATGCCTTCTCACTCTCTATCTTCGCCCAGGCTTGCTTAGATGTGGCAAGAGTTGCAGACTCCGATGGATTAACTATCTCCGACCTGATCTCAAGCGAGGCAACTTCACTGAGGAAGAAGACGAGCTCATCATTAGCCTCCACAGCCTCCTTGGCAACAAGTACATCTCTCATATATGTGATTACGACCCCCTTCAATTTCGTAAGTCGTTTCTTTTTTCTAATATATGATTCTCGACCTGATTGATTCCTCAGATGGTCTTTAATCGCGGCGAGGTTACCGGGCAGAACCGACAATGAGATCAAGAACTACTGGAACACCCACATCAAACGCAAACTCTACAGCCGCGGTATTGACCCCCAAACGCATCGACCGCTCAACGCGGCTGCCGCAGCAACCACCGATACCGGTGCCGTCGTCAGCAGCAGCAACGACGGCGGTAATAACAATAACAGCAAGTTCCAGTTGGTGACTGAGTTGGGTAGCGCCAACAACAATAATGCTACAAAGATCGTAAAAACCGAATCGCCCTGCGAGGACTCCAACAGCAGCAGTGGGGTTACCACAGAAGAAGCCGCCTGTGCACATGCTCAGCTCAACTTGGAGCTCACCATAGGCCTTCCCTCTGATCAGCCTTCTTCTGTAAACCAGGACAAGTTTAAACAACGACAGCCACAAGAGCATCCTCGGCCAGAACAAGTGTTGTACCACTGGTATGGCAACTTTAGTAGTGCTGGTCAAGGTGTGTGTTTGTGTTACGGTCTAGGGTTTCAAAGTAAGGATCAAGCATGTAGCTGCAAATTAGCCATGGGTGCTGTCGTGGTTGCTCCTAATGCTAGTAGCCCTCCTACTGTTACTGAAACTGCGACCGATACCATGTATAGATTTTACACCCCCATGAATATTTAGAGAGAGAGAGAGAGCTTTTAATTAGGAATCATTTGGGTACTAATCTCAACGCTTACTTTGTAATGTTGTGGTTATTACATGTTAGTTGCAAAATGATCAATTAAAATAGACGCTCTGCAGAATTCCTTGGAATTCTCAGATATAATTTTGGGTCCATACATTCGATCAGTTTTTCCCGCTTGTTTCTGTGTGTTTGAACTAACAACTAATTCCGGTCCATTCAAGCAAACCAGTCGACATTCAAAATCAACGGTCATGGTGAGGAAGGGGTTAGAAGTTAGAACTTAGTAACACCCGCATTCTTGTTCATTACACATCTCATCACAGACAGTAAACCTACTTTTCATTATGATAAAACGGTCAGGAACATTAAGTAATTAGCAGTTGGGAAGGACAAAATTTGAGAAGTGGGTATTGTACGTGGTGGGGTACTGATGGGGCGAGGCCGTACTGGTTGTTGTGTATATTTAATGGCCTTTGGTAGATCATTATACCAGTTGCGTTATATAGCAGCTTGGTGACCGATATTGGCAGTGGCGTTGCAAAGATAAATTAAAGCCCTAAATCCGATTCCAAAGTGCTCCGGAGATGGGATTTGAATGCAAAGTACGACGTAGCCATTCACCCGTGTCACCGCAAGAAGACAAGCAAGCAGAAATTGGCGGAACGAGTTGAATTATATTAGTCCAGTAGCATGCTCGCTCTGGACTTTCTTGATGCACGTTAATTATTACTCTTATTATTATTATAGTGAATAATTGTGTTTCTTGTTCTCTACCTACCACTAGAGAGTCTAGAAACTAGATATATACTTGCTGGTTTAACTTTGCTTAGTTGGAATGATAAAGAGGGATTCGTTCTCAAGACTTAAAACTTGATTTTGATAAGTGATGACAGATGGGAGGGGAATTCAAGTCAGTAGACGTGTTTTAAAGAATCCTGATCTTGATGGTTTTATTATTTGTTTTGGGTGCTGATCTTCCCAGAATTCACTGTGGGGAATAAGAAATTATTGAGAAGGATCCATTAAAACTTATCCTATAAATGGAAAATGGAATCCATTGGAAGACAAGGGTGAGGTAGCGACAGCAACCGAATACACATCCATGTGGCCCACTTCATGTGGTCGAGCAGAATGTTAGCAACCACCCTGTCTTTTTTAGGTCACAATAACAGAGAATAAATAACGAGTCCTTCTCCCAACATGATTGATCATTTTTATACAGGTGTAAACAATTAAATTATGAATTATAAATAATTTTAAAATCATGATGTGTACGTACAGCTGAAGTTGAGCCTCCAGTTAAAAGCTGATTATGCTGTAAAATGACATAATATAAAATTACAAAAACAAAAATATGGTTACATGGTTTTTGAGTTGCAACGTAAAATTAGAGTGATTTTTAATTAATTTGAGATTATTTAATTAGGATTGAGGGGTGGGAGTTGAGGAAGATTACAAGAACATAAAAAGGAGGATTAGGTTGGTAGATAGGAGATGGGGGGTGACGTAAGAGAGGACACCTACCCACCCTGTCTTTTCTCATAAATTCCCTCTTCTCTGCTGCCTGTCCCCCTTTTTAAAAAAAAAAATAATAAATAAAATGTTATGTTTACTTTTCTAGGTTAACATGATTGATGATTTAATAATAATGGTGCCACGTCACATTCACGTATCCTGGCTCAGGCGGGCTTCGTGGCGTTCTAGAAGCTCCTGAACTTGCGAAAAGGGGCACGTTACTCCCACCTAATTCCCTTCCCTTCCCTTCCCTTCCCTTCCCTCTCCCCATGTGACCCTTTCCCGCTCTCCTTCTCTCTCTAATAATTTTTCTCCCACCCCGTCCATTCCTCCGCGATCTTCAGTTTTCACCACACTTACTTTTATTTAATAAAATTATTATAAATTCTTTTGCCAACAATAAAATCAATGCTGTTTGTTGTGCTTTTTCCAAAATTTAATAATACCTCCTATTCTTAATGTAAGATTCGGTTTGATTTTTATTTTGATTTTAAATATAAGATCTCAATCTCCTTTGTTTCTCATAGTTACTCAATTTTTTAATACATTTTTTCTAATAATTATAGTTCTAGTCAATATACTTGATTAGTAAGGATATTTTAAGAAAGACAACGCTTATTTAAAAAAAATAACTAACTCAACTTATTTTTTTAATCTTTTCAAATTAGTTAACCGGTTATTATAATTAGGATCAAAAATAATATTAAGTTAACAACATATACATGCCATATAATTAAGTATTGGGTCGGTTCCTTTGCATCGGCTCTGTCCACGAACACCACCAACTTCTGGACACGTTTATAGACGTCTCTCAACCAAGTCCTTTATTATTACTACTATTCATGGTTTTTGTTCGCTACCTTTATCAAGAGAAAGAGAGTGTTTGGCTGGCTCGAAAATTATTTTTAAAATTATGATTTAATTTTTACATAAACACTCCCTAAGTCACAACCGTGTTTTGTGTAAATATAAGTTTACATAGCCTATTTAAGATAATGTTTAAAAATACTTATAAACACATTTTATATAAGTTAAAATAAAAATCCCTCTTACATACTTATTTTATATTCTGTAAATATAAGTTATTTAAACGGGCTCATGTCCATTGAACCCCGCATGTAAGCATCCAATAACGAAATCACATTAATTCAAAAAGCTGATTAAAATTTGTTAAATATAATAAACATGTAAATAATATAACTTACTCTCTTAAATATAATAGACACCATTATTCATGAGAAGAGTAAGAAAAAATGAGCAGAGAACGGGATTAGAGAGAAAAAGTAAAAAAAAAAAAAGTGAAATATATATATTTAAATAAAAATGAAAATAAAAAAAATATTAAATCATCACATAATTTCAAATTGCATCTTCAAAAAAAGCTCTTTAACGATTTGATGCTTATATCTTCACAAGCTATAGAGTTTATAACAACTGATCTATTTTCTCTTGAATTTCACAAATTTTGAAATGAATTGTATTATTTATTAGTTATAAACTGGTAAAATTTGAAGCCCGTTTTTTTCTTGGCGCTGCCCATATACTCGGGAAAAAATATCACACCATTGGGAGCGTTTTTGTTTTGTTTTTTTTTTTGGGGTTTGGAGGTGCGGGTCCCAGTGGGAGGAGCCCAGGCGGGGGGAGCACTGAAGGATCCGCCCAATGGTTGGGGTCGCATGACCTGGTGAAACGCGCGCCCATCATTTCGGCATTATTAACTTTGTTTCCTTTTCTTATTTAAGTGTCTCTGCCTAATCCAAATCCACAGCTTTTCCCCTTTTATTTTCTCACTTCTTCCTCCGCTGTCGCTTTTTAATTTGACACCCAATCCTTAGAATAAAATTTCCTTCTTGTGCTACTATTAATTTCTCTCCTTTAAACATTAAATAAAATTTTCCTTCTGGTCTGACTGGCTGACTTGCGCGGCCAGGACTGGATAGATAAATAATTCAATATTTGACGTTCACAGATAAATAGTGTTTTGATGTATAGACCAGAAAGGAGACAAAAATGCAACAACGTTGCAATGGGTTAGGCCATTAGTTTTTCAAGCACATATTGGATTGAACAGAGCGCCACGTTATATATGGGTCAGACGATTGACCCATGATGGCCTTATATGACTTGCGCGCTCAGACACATGGGACAGGATTTCAAAACCGTTGACCTGCGTAGCACTTGGGCATGCGAATAATTTAAAATGGCACTTTTGACCACGTGACATAATATCAACACAATGGAAGAAGCTAAAAAAGAAGGGCATAAAAAAAGGTCTCAATTTCAAGTCTCCTAGGGGATGAATCCATGGGAGAAGCACCCACGGTAATGCAGCAAATAGCCAGTATACTCGGTCATGAAATATCGGTTCATGCATCTAAAGTCAAGCGTTTTGATCATTGCTATTTTTGTTCCAGTTCATGCATTTTCTTCTTTCTTCACTTTTCCTCTAGAGCCCATCCATACATTTTTTGTTTCTTGGGGCCGAGCTATATGCCCAAGGTTTCTCTGCTTACAAAATTTAGGAAAAATAAAACTTTTGGTCCCTCAAATTTAGGTCAATTTAGGTTTTGGTCATTGAAATTTAAGACCTGAGGTATTGATCCTTGGAATTTACTTCGTTACAAAATGTTAGTCCCTGTGAGTCATGTGCCGTTACAATTTGCTGAGGTGGCACAAACAGTGTCTGATTTGACTTCTGACTTGGTAACATGAGCTGATTAAGTGGCATGGGAGATAGATATCTGATGTGAAAAAAAAAAGAAAGAAGATGCCTATTTAAAGAAAAAGATAGAGGACCCATGTTTAAAAAAAGACAGAGAACTCGTGTCAGATACTTGTGGGGGAGCAGAGGAAAACAATGGTGCATATGGAATAAAAGAAATCAACGGGAAAGGTGCTAGGTCAAAGAGGAGCCACACCTACCAGCGAAGAGTGACGTGGCCTTCACTAGAATAGCAGCATTTCCGACAAATGGTGGTGTGACAAAATTGAACCCACTGTTTGCTTCTTCAATTGTTTGCTGAAAGGTGAAGAAGTAATGCGTGTTTTGTATATAGTTAATTAACTAATGTTTGAGAAAAGTAAGGAGTCAGCCGGGGAAGGGGAAGGATGGGAATGGTGATTGATCCATGAATTGCATGTTTGATTCAGAGTTGTTTGCTTTAGTTAGCCATATAGTCGTTTACTGTTTTTGTTGTTTTCGTAGATTTAACCTATTTAATGCTTCGGTCTTTGATCCTTTTCAGCATTGTGTTTTCGTGCATGCTCTGTTTTCAGTTTTTTATGCAAGTTGTTGGCATGAGCAGCGAGAGGGTGCTCATTTGATTTCATTTTATCATAGACCACTGACCTGTCAGTTTGAGCATCCATATTGTTCTTGTTGAGCAATGAGTGTACTATGTTTTTGTTTACCTCCGTTGCATTGTGCTCTGTTTTTTGCTTGAATTGTGGTACTATTTTGATTGTTTCTCCAATACATATTCAAGAATTGTGTCTTTTCTCGAATATGTGTTGGAGAATTGGTACCACTTCTATTCCATATGCACCTTTCCCGTTATGGGTCCTCTCCGACCTAGTGCCTTTCCCGTTGTTTTTTTCTATTCCATATGTACCGTCGTTTTCCTATGCTCCCCCATGAGTGTTTGATGTGGGTCCTCTGTCTTTTTTTAAACACGGGTCCTCTGTCTTTTTTTAAACATGGTCCTCTATCTTTTTCTTTATCTTTAATCAGGCGCCTTCTTTCTTTCTTTTAATTTTTTATTTTCCAAATCAGATATCTAGCTCCCATGCCATTTAATCAGCTTATGTTGCCAAGTCAGAAACCAAATCATTATAGCTGACATCGTTTGTGCCACCTCGATAAATTGTAACGGCATATGACCCCAAGGACTAACATTTTGTAATAGAGTAAATTCCAAGAACCAATACCTCCAATCTTAAATTTCAGGGACCAAAACCTAAATGGGCCTAAATTTGAGGGACCAAAAATTATATTTTTCCTAAAGTTTAGATGGGTTCAATCTTGAAACCCGTTAGAATTAGAACATGTCTCTAAATTTAAAAAATATTTACAACTTGTCCTTCAATAAAATCATTATATTAGTAGTAGAATTTAAACTCACAACTTTATAGGTTATGAGTCGATTTCTTACTAATTAGATTAATTTTTGTTAGTATATGTGCAAAGTTGACAATAGATAAATCTGAATTCGTATAATTGTCTTTTTTTTTTGTTTTCACCAGGGTATCCATCGGAGCGAGCCCAATGACTAATCCCTCGGGTACTATCGGGCTCAAGATGAGGACGATCCTCCCAGACACGTTTGCTCCATTCCCATCCCTCCAGGAATCGAACCCTAGAGGCGATGGTTAAGGGACACAACTCCCTTACCAGTTGTGCCAGCGCGCGCTTGTTCTAATTGTCATTTATTTTGTGGTATTGATGTGAGAAATAGATGTCACTTTGGGCCGGGGGGAGGGATCGAAAAATACGCTTAAACCGGCATTTTTGAGCATCGGCTGGAAATAGGCCCGTGAACGTGATTTAACTCAATGAGTTAGGGTAAAGTGAGCAATCTGGTCCGTTCAGAAAGTGACACGTGGTGGGAAAGCGAAAAGATGGTGATCTGAACCGTGTGATTGATAAAAGTTGGGGCGTGGGGGGAAGTCATCCAATCATTAATCATCCATCCATATGAATTCACCGTGTCCTCAGCGATGAGTTGTCAAGTTTTGTGTAAAATATTGGTACATATTGAGTTTTTGTTTTAGTTTAGTGCTTTTAATTTTTGTTACAAGTTTATTTTGACATTTAAAGTTTAAATTTGTTTTAGTTTTGAATCATTGCTTTCTGTCGACTTTTCTATTGAAAAATTAATTAATACTAGAGGTTTTGATAAAATAAAATTTTCACTTTTCAGGAGTACTGGTATAGGCAATAACCAGAACCTTAACTCCTTCTTTTGAGACTTTCTTGAGCTGTGCCTAAAATTCTTTTATTAAAAAAAAAGAAAAGAATCTCCAATTTTCAAAACCCGAACCTAAATGAATAGTCCGACAGACCTTTTGATTTGGGCTTCTCCTCACGTTTCTCGGGTGTCACTTTGACAATTTCTATAAAGTTGGGCTTTCTCGTTGTGGCGTTTTGCGTCTCATTTGCCCAATGACCAGGTCCAAGCACATCAGGAGATTATAATTCACGTTGGATAATATGCTGGTAAAAAAAAAAAAAAAGGTTATTGCATGTAGAATAAAAGTTATCACCAGGAAAAAATAATTTTGTTTTTGGTCCGATGCCTAAAAGTTAGCCTTAAACCAATAACGAGAGGGTTGAATGATTGTGGGGATTGTATAATCAAATGGAGAAAATAGATTTGTCGGTTTTGAACTTTCTATTTAAAAAAATACTGGGGGTTCGTCAGTCATTTAAGGGAATTATTGCGGGCAAAAAAGGAATTTGGAGGGACGATTATTTTATTTTTGAATAATGCCAACTTTAATACAGGCTTGGCTTCGTGGTTTGACGAAACGATGAAGCGGAGGAGAAGGAGAAGGACGGGGGTCTTGGAGGAATAATTGCGCGCGTGCCAAATTAGGGAAAAGAATGTGTGGGCCCCGACATTAAAATTACTAAAATTACAATATTTAATTTATTAATAATAATTTTGGAGGGTTTTGAGGGGGGTTTGGCGGTTAGGGTTTTGTATTGCGCTGTTCGCCTTTATTTTCTTTTGACGTTATTTGGCCCTCCTCCAGTGTTCGGGTCTTACTGTTTTCCTCCCTCTCGAGCGCCCTCTCCTTTATCTGCTCTGTCTCGCGGCGCAATGTCTCGCTGATGCACCGAATGGTACGGCGACCCTCTTCTTTTGCTCTTCCCCCCTTGAATTCCTTGACTACTATCTCTTTTCACGCCCACAATTCCCATTTAGTACTTTCCTTATGTTTCAAGTGGCGGCATTGCTTGATTGCTGCCAGAATTCTGGACTGGGGGGTTTTTAGTGGCTGATAATATATCGCATTGTCTATATACTGAATAATACATTTAGTTAAATTTTTTTTGAGGGGTTTCATCTTGTTTACGTCTTACTTCTTAAGCCAATCTGCCTTGGTTCAACCAAGCCCTCTTTTTCTAATTGTTTGCGTTTCGCTTGACTGATCGCTTGGCGCCTTGGACGGTCTTGCTTGCATCACTGTTTGATTGTGGAGTAGCGTGTCACAACTAGTAGTACATTTAGCGTTTTGCTTCCATGATAAAATAGTTAAAAATCCCGTTCTGGCACTTTTATATATATATATATATATATATATATATATATAAATCATGCGGTTGCTTCTTGATGCTTCATTTGAGGGAGTTCTGTTGCGAATACGTTTTCTCTGCATGGGCGTGTTCCATCACTTATGTATTACTAGTTTGTCATACTTGTTATGTATGAAATTTTGATTGCTTAATATTTCGACTTTTTATTATTCCCCTTTCTGTTAATTCTTCTTGTTATGCCTGATTACCCTTCGTTCACTTTAGCCTAGTTGAACTGTATTATAATGTTAAACCCATAATCGTGAAAAAGTACATGATTCTCTGAGCATCCGGGGTAGATTTTTTTAAATTTCTTTAGGGGATCAATAATGTAGGGAAACAGGGAAAGGAAGGCAGCTACAATACTATTCTTACTGTTGATGGACATTTTCTGTTTGGTTTCTTTTCACCCCCTCATTATGTCTTGACTACCTTTGATGACCCAAGTTATAATCATAGTGTGGCATATCCAAAAAGAAAGAAAAAGCATAGCTGTAGCATGTTGAAAGTTGAAATTTATGGTATTGTCCTGCTGCTGAATATGTGATTTATATGATTATGAGTATGTATATTGCCATTCAATGAACCTTATGACCGATGTGTTAAAATATCCCATCAACTTCCTCAGCTGTTCCCCATATCTACCATCAGCCAGGAGGCCGTTTTTTTCCTTTAGGACATATTATCATTGTGAAACTACCTTCATTACCATATAGAACCCCTTTTTTAACCTGTCAAGCTTACTGTTAATTCATGCTTTTTGCAGCTTACTGCGCTTAAGATTTGTGTGCTTGAGAACTGTGCTGTTGTGAGAAACTGAAAGAGAACCTGGATTGTGTGTAGTTTATGAAAGAGTTGCAGGGATGGATAACTGTTGTCATCAAGTTACGTTCATTGGCCAGCCTGAGGAAAATGGAAGTCAACTTTTTTCAGAAATTCCAAAAGAGTTGAAAGATGCCGATGAACAAACTATTAAGACTGAAACTTTGTTTATACCAGTGTTTAAGAAAAGAAAGCGACTTAGCCTAAGTCAGCTTAGAGAGATAAAAGCAGGATTAGGTGAGAAGCAGACGCAAACTAGCAGCAAGCTCAAGACAAAGAAGCATGAGAGTAGAGACAGATGGTCATCTGAGAGGTAAAGAATGCATGTGAGGTTCTTTCTATCTCTGCTCTCTCTTTAATAATACAATGTGGTAAACTTAGGTGATCATCTACTGTAGATATAAGCTTGCTGAGCAAAGCATGTGGGAGGTCTTGAAGGCTAAAGGTGCAACATTTGCCAACCCAATCTCCCGACCTGCACTACGGACAGCTGCCCGTAAACACATTGGCGACACTGGACTATTGGACCATTTACTGAAGCACATTGATGGTAAAGTGGCACCTGGTGGGACTGAGCGTTTTAGGCGGTGGTTTAACACTAAAGGAATCATGGAATATTGGTTGGAGAGTGCTAACCTGGATAAGGTCCGCCAGGATGCTGGGGTGCAGGACCCATACTGGATTCCACCATCTACATTTAAAGCAGGCAGCCCCCCTCAGATTTCAGATTCTTCTGGCGAATTGAAACTGCTTCAAACAGAAATGGCCAAAATGAAGAAGTATTGAAGTTTGAAACTTGTGTATCAAGATGTTCTTGTATGCTTATTATTATATATGCATCTTAAATGCTGTTGTGTTGGCAGAGATATGCAGGAGCTCATAATCAAGAACCGAGAGAAAAATGAAAGTCATATGATGGAGGTGAATGCTGAATGATTAAGTGAATGTTTATCCACTTTATTGATTTAATTATTTAATGGTCTAATGTTTCTAATATCGCGCGATGATATCTCATGTCATATCTTTACTGGCAGGAGACACACAAGGAATTAGTAAAGTGGAAAGCTATGACTGAGCAACGCCTAACTGGGATTTTGACTTCTTTGAAGGGTGTACAGGTTCCTAGACATAGCTTCATTTCTCACCCCTTGAGAATTTTATGTGAAAGCTGCCATGATAAATATGTTTTCAGTTGGTTAAATTTTTCATGTTTGTGATCATAGTTTAATGAAGTTTTATATATTGCAGGGCATGTATGGTGATTTGGTGATTTGGAAAGGTAAAGTTGAGCAACAGCTTGTGGAAATAACAAATAAATTGAGTGATCTGAAAGCATCAAGGGAAGGCACGACCAATCCTCCTTTAGAAAGATGGGAAGATTGGCTTGAAAGCACCAATCTAGAGAATATTCAGGGAGATGATGAGCTTATACCATGGTTTGGGAGTACAGAGCTGATTAATCTTGAGCAAGGAGTTGCCCTGCAAGATCCTAACTCAGCCCTACCTAGTCAGCTGCTCAATGACAATGTGACTAACATGAAGAGGTAATGCATGCAAAGTCAAATTCTCCCCTATCCTCTTCTTTGCTGCTTCCATTTGAGAACTAAAAGAAAAACTAGCATAATGGGGGAAACGGCCACTTGCGTTCTGATATTCCTTATTTTTTGCTTGTGATAATAATCTAGTGAGTTGCTGGAAATGTTGCCCAACATTCAAGAGGAAGATCAACCTAATGTGACTCCAGATTCTTCTATCACTGTTAATTCAAAATCAGACCTTGACAACTCGGTGATGTTGTTTCAGGTAATGTTTGCATGCGCATATCATGTGCAATCATGTATGAGGCACTTCTTTTTTCCTAGTTCAATGTTGATTTAGCGTATTCTTTCCTCACAGGAGATGCTTACGGACTTGTTTAAATGGAAAGACAAGATGGAGAAGCAGATGGCCGAGTTATCAAATCATGTATATGGAATGCTGGCGACGAAGTAGCTCTACTTTGAAGTATCTAGTTTAGGATATAGGATTTTAACCACCATATGTTTTCTTATTACGCTTTAGATTGGTAGGGTTAGATATTGTACAGCGTCGACTATCTGATCATGAAAGAGCTTTTCCGACCACCAAGTTCATTAAAAGCTTCATCTGACCTGCACTATGCTGCAAATTGTTAATACGTTGGACTGGCCTTACAGTGAAGTTTGGTTATGCATCAGGGTAGATCCTTAGGACCGCTATGTTAATTGCCGTTGACCTGCTTAGGTAAGATTCAAGTTAGTTTAAATATAGGTGTTTAGGGTAGGCCATACCCGCAGTTCTTTGCCTATTAGCCGGAGTGATCCTTTAAAAGTAGGCTGTAGATCTATTTATGGGACAAGCTGACATATTTATATATAGAATTTTTACTGGATAATTCATCAGATCTTGTGGGCTTATGATTACGCTGAATTGCTCATATAATGTAATCAGCATGTTGAGTTTGTCTTTTGTATATTTCCCACATTCTATTTGCTGCGTTCAATCATGATGTTTGTTTGACAAGTTAATACGTTGTTTTTCAAAATATTTAAAGTAGTACTTTTAATAGGCAGGCAAGAGCCAGAAAAGGGAAGGCACGGTAGTCCTGATGAATTTATACGATTTTACGATGCCGTTATACTTGCGGAGGTTGAGATCCACGAAGGGAAAACGAGCGCAAACGGATTGTTTCGCTTGATCGTTTTTCTTAGACGTTGATTTGAATTTTGAATGATTCTGATTTAATTAATTTTTTTTATGTTTAATAGAACTTAAAAATAAAAACAATCTTATAATTGTTATTTCTTAAAAAAGAAAATATATTATCAAAAAATTGTAGTTTAAAAAATTTTAATCTAAACTATTCAAATTAGATTCCAAATGATTTAGATTTCATTAAATAAATGCCCATGTCCCATTCCTACTTTGAGAAAATAAAGGTGGCTCTTGGTTATCCATCAAACGTTATTTCAATTTGGTTTGATTGTTTCCTTTCCCATCAGCGGCAGTATTTTAAAGAATGTACTATCTCATGTCTTAAATATGAAAGTTAATTAATTAATTTAAATAAATTAAAAAAATAAATTAAATTAATTATTTATAATAAGTATTATTTTTTTGAAATAATTTTATTAGTCGAATATATTGACTAAAATTACTATTATTAAAAAAACTATTTTAAAAAATATATAAATATAAAAAACAAAATAAATTAAGATCTTATATTTAGAATCAAAATAAAAATCAAACATGTTACGCAACATAACCATCCATACAAAGCCGCAGATTCTCATAATTCCAGTCATATCCCTGCCGCCTCTTCCGGCTGAAACTAAGCCTTTGACCTCTGTTGACGGACCTTCGCGCGCATCCGTTTTCAATATACCCTTGCAGATTCAGTGGAACGAACTTCAGCGATAACAGAAAGCTCGACATTAGAACTTCGTATTTCGGACTCAACAATGCCTTCGATAAGATTTTAGCTCGCCATTTCTATGATAGCAGTTTGATTTTCATTTCATGGCAAGCCTGGAGACACCTGAACTCGTGTACCAGAGAAGCTCTGCATCTGAGAGTGGTAGTAATTAGGCATTGAACGATTGGAGTTTGATTTTTACTTCGTCATAGCAAGCCTGAAGATCCCTAAACTCTTCTGTGTCAGAGAACCTCTGTGCCTGGGATCATAAGTAATAAATCAAAAAATCTTACAGCATGGGCCGAGGGATCAACAAAATGAAATGAAAATCAGTATACAAGAATTTGGCTAAAGAAAACATTAAAACAGAATGCGAAATAATGAAAATAAAACAGACACTCATTATTTCAAGATTTTCCCCACTGAAAACACTCACTGAATGACTCGCCTGTTTAATGATGTTCTTTAGGTGCATCTCAGCCGTAAACAATTCTTTACGGCTGTTTGTAGATGAGGAGATTTCCATGTACAACTTGCAAAGTTCCAAAGATGCATTAGCTAACTTCTCAAAACGATTTCTGTCTTTCCATGTGTCAGATCCCTGATACAATATACAATCATGTAACAGTAGAATTATAATCATTAGGACAAATAGGCTTAACACTTACGAAAAGCTCTCATGAAGAAACTCCAGATACAATTTCAGCGTTAATAACATGTGAAAAGGATTGGAGAAAGTGGTTACTCTCCACTGAACATGAACAAGGCAGGACACAAATTACTTGGCATGCAAAAAAGAGGGGCATTACTTTTCCATTATGCATGTAAGTCAACCGCGTCTCAAGGAAACATATCATGATTGGATAAAAAATATCATAATCGAACACTTATTTCTCCCCCTATAATATCGAGATAACTGCATGAATTCTCAGTCATGGCATAGAGGTGTGCGGCTCTCTTTCCATGTTATGCATCAACTTAAATTCCTGACTTATAATGCTCTAAGCCTTTTCCCTACAGGAAAATACCGAGTTGAGGAAAACAAACATTGATTAAATATTGAGTTTGAACGTTACGAGAGATACCTGTAGTGATCTGACTTGCCTTAAGAGCGCTTCAGAACACATTAAAAGATCTCCTTTAATTCTGTGCCAGCGAGCATATAAGCCCCAGACATCAGCTGTTGATCCACTCCCACTTTTGACTATCTACATCAGAATAAGAAATGTTAAAATCAGGATCTGCAGACTTCTATGAGCTACATAGCTTACTTTTCTATCATAAAGGAAATCAACAGAAGATAGAAACATTTTTAAGCAGCTAGAATTAGGATGCACTGATTGCTATTTACAGCCTGCTAACTATAATTAATCAGAGAAGCAACCCAAAATGCATGCCACTATTTTGTCAGTGAAGGGAGGATTGCTGGAAAGAATGGTGCTTCTCTTCATCAATGAGAAGAAACACCAACATGAGGGGAATTTTGTACCTGCTGTAAAACCTTTCCAAGTAGCAACACTAATTGCTCAGTTTCCCGTGATCTTCCTTCAGTAGATACATCAGATCCTTGCTCGTAAATCTCTGATTCAGAATCATCTCGATGTCCATTATGCTGATTATTAGGTGTCACAGGAGAAACGGAATGACTTACTGAAACCCTTCTTTCCACCTCTCCCATAATTCTCTCCAATAATTCTGTATCCACTCTTTTGTTATTGCTAATGTCCAAAACCATTTGTTCCCCTTCCAAAGCCTAAAAAATTATCAAACTTGATGAGTGATAAAGAATCAACGAAAACAATGCTTTTGGTTGACAAAGTAAATGGTATGTGTCTTATGAGGTCACTGAATCTTTATGTACAAGCACACTCATAATATTGGTTCCCTACTATTCTCCCTAAATTCAGCTGTCTCGGCTCAGTAGCGTTATATGACTAGCTCTTATTAAAGTCAGTGAAGCTATCAGGGCTTCCATAAGTTCACTCTGCAAATTTGAGCAAATATAAATGGCTAGAGTAATATACAGAAGGACAGTAATGTCACTGCCAACATATGATTACCACATGCCTCTCAAGTTTTCAAACAGACAATTGCCTGGCACTCAAGCTTAATAGGTTTATAGGGCATGAGCATGAGCCCACTAAAATTTAGAAGCTAAGTAGCAAAGAAATGCATACAAGGCATTAAGCTGATAACCATCTGGCAGGATTGTCTCCAGGTCAAGTGTGAAGAACCATTGAGTTATTTTTGTACATAAAAAAGTTTTTAAGTAACTAAATATAATTGCCAGTCAAATTCACTGAAAAATAGGATGAGAAAGTGATCAGGTATTGAAACAGTGTTCGCATAACCTTTGCACTCGCATCTTAAGTCACATAGCAGACTCATAAGTATCCACTGAGACTTTTGTTGGTGAACAAAAATGAGAAAAAGGAAAGCGAGTGGAAACCTGACTGATATTACCCACATCAACTGCTACATGGCTGTAGTTCTCCCAGAGTTGCCAGCTATTTCGCCTGTCATCAAGGGTCAATAAAAATTATTTCATTATATACCTCTAATTTCCAAAGAGCTAGTGACAATGTATACAAATTTTAGATGTCCGCATGCATGTGTATCCAAAAATATTGCAGCACATATGAGAGAATTGAAGTCAAAGACGGAACTTGAACTTCAGGGCTTCTTTAAAGGCAATGAAGGATTCTTTACTCCTTTTCTTGATCATATGCCTGCATGATAGGTAAAATTGCAAATATTATGTCAAAGGTAGAAGGGGAAAAAAATCTACTTGATGATGAATGAATATAACGAGTGGAACATCAAATACAATCATAAACTGTGATACCCAGGTAAAAGGAGGACCTGAAAAGAGAATGATTAGAATTTCTCACAGATGGAGATCTAAGCAAGCATGGGGAACCCCCAACCTTAATTGGCATGTGAGGGAGAAGAACAATGTCACTAAAGTACTGCAAAAATTACATACGGCTACCCAAGGTAGGGCTCCACCACAAACTCTTTGCCATTTTAAACAAGTTAGATCCTATCTCTTTGCAAGGTGAAACAGATGATTTTGCGGTCCCAAAGGGTTTTGTGGGAAGAAGGGGCTACCTTATCAAGGAGCACCCTCATGCAGCAAACATTTATATAGATTACAAAAGGAAAAATAATAGAAAAGTTACTATCTCATTCATAGATTGGTGTGCATTTGCAGGTATATTAGTTGAAACAGCAAAACAAACCAATGCTTTTCTTATTTCTCAATAAGAGATGTAAGCCAGAAATACATACAAGCAAGCAATGTTATTCCAAGCTTCCCCATTTTCAGGATCAAGTTGAACTGCACGAGTAAACCCATCCAAAGCCTTCTCAATATCCTAGCCTGTATAATTTTCATGGTCAGAATATACTTCAGAGATCAGAAATAGAGAGTACATTATAATATTGGCATACTACAAAACCCATGGTCAATATGAGTATTGGTGCCCATTCTGATTCAAAACAGACGAATGAAATGATGGCATATA